AACAATATTTTAAAGATCTAATATAAAAATTTCTTGGATGATTTATCTTTATCACTAACAAAATCTCTATACTAAGAGTACGGAAGGATATAGACTCTTGAACCTGATTTTTCCATCAACTTTGCATATGTTTTTTAGATACTTTGTATCTGATAATATTGCTATCGGGTCAAATTTTTTTTAATTTTAACATTTTTTGAAAACTAATTTTAAATCTAACATCTCCGATTTTTTTTTAAAACTAACACTTTTGGCCGCGCCTATTGCCCTGGCGCGGCCAAATGCCTCTGCTGCGCGGGCTGACGTGGCGGCGACCAGGAACGCTGACCGCTGACGGGGCAGGGCCTGCCGCGCCAGGGGTCATAGCGCGTCTGGGGCAAATAAAACCCCGCGGCCAGTCATGCCAGCCCGAGCAGCAAGCCTGCCCGCTGCGCCCGTCGCCAACCCGGTGGTACCTGGACGGTTTAAGGGTCGCGCCGATGGTGGCAGTTATTGTAAGTATTGTTTGACGTAAAATGAATAGTGAATTTGTTTCTATATTTTGTTAAATTTTTTCAAGGCCGAATAGAGAAATTGATAAGGCAATTGATAATTTTTCCGTCTTTCATAATACGGTTAACCACCATGTTAACTAATCGATTACGAAAAATTGGATCGGATTGAGATGAATATTTTTAAGGGAACTTATTTATTTGGCTTTTTGGCCCCATATTGCAGGATCGGCGGCGACGCGATCATGGACCCCGGCTTCCTCGACCCCTCGTGTAAGACGCCGGCCACCGGTGTCGAGATACCCCGGGACTGCTGTTTTTTGAACTAGTTGCTATTTAATCTCGCAAGCAGTGATGTCGCGATGCATTGAAATGAAGCAAATAACATAAGTTGACAAGCTGCCACATAAGTTTGACTTAAGTTCGACATAACATAACCAAATAAGCCTGTAAGTTTCGGACCCCAATAATAGTTCGACCTAACAAACTAAGACTTAGGAGTGTAAGGATTCCTCGGACGCCTCTGTCTCTTCGGATTTATTGGCAACACATTGGGAGTGTAGCCAACGTCAGTGTGGTCGCGTCGCCGGTGCGTATGGCTCGTACCCTGCAAGTATGTGATATGCACGATTACTTAGAATTCTTTGTGATCGTTAGTTCATGTAGCCTACGTATTTAAAGAAACTATATTTGTTAGGATGCTCCTTGAGTGCCAAGCGGGGCACCACCTAGCTGAGACATGTCAATCTCGTCCTGCGGTCAATCTTCCCACTCATCGTCGTCGTCATCGATTGCAGGGTCCTTCCCAAATACTTATAATGTGGTGGTGTACGCCTCATGAAGTGACACACTGCACACCGGTGAGAGAAGAGTCAAGGCGTCCTCAAAGAGGCTAAAGACGTACCACCCGACCGCACTGGGAGTGGCAGTTCCTCATAAGGAGTGTCCATGCAGCTCAACTTTTGAGCTAGCTTCATGCAGCTCTTCTTCACCTTCTTCATAAATAGACGTTAAAGTTAGCGCATTTCACAAACGCATATACACTAAAGAAACAATTTCGGAACATACTAGTTTATGTTTACCTCCACAAAAGCCTCGAGAACGCCTGGCCCCTGCCCTCTAGACTCGTGAAGCCGGTACGCTGCTTCGTTGGATAGCCTAGACAATTGTGTCGCCTAGGTTCAGAAACACGGATGATCAGTTTTAGTATACATAATTAATACCAAATGGATAACAAATTGTACCATTCAAGTATCTTACCACGTATCTTTGTAGCGGGGCTCTCTGTAGCTGTGTGTCCTCTCTAGTGGCAACGTCGTACACATCTTTGATCATATCTTCCTCCGAGTCCTCGTCAATCGCCTCCTCAGTGTACGGGGGCTTGATATGTGTCCTCGTAGACCTGTGAAGCCAGCGCAGGTACTCGTCGAAGGTGTGCTGGTCGTGTGGAGGACCCGCATGGACCGGCTACCGTTCCCTGGTCTCCCACAAGTGGATGTGCGCGCTGTGTGTCACGCGCCAATCCTTGGTCTTGTATCTCTTCCTGCGGTCATACCTGCAACAAAACGATGTTAGTTCTACCACACACACCTCTGGATTATAGCTCTGTTATTAATCGATAACGTACCCGTGCAATCCTTGGTTGGTGGAGTAAAGTGGTGGTGGGCAGCCTATCATTCTTCCAAACTATCTGCAGACCCTGACGGGCAAGTGAATCTCGACCACATGGAAGAAAATAAGAGGGACGCTACAGCGATACTCCTCTAACTCGTCCATAGTGACAGGACTGAGATAGTTCTAGAACTCCGGAGCATCATAAGGACACAAATGCATCTGAACATTTCGTAATTGAGTTAGGCTGTGATATAGTGTAGATCGAACAAGACACAGGTATGATAGTAAAAAGAGCGTAACCTGGTGCTGTGTCAGGACGTCGAGATCGTCCGTGTACTCCTTGTACTTGCGCCTCGCATTCCCTCTAACTAACTCTGATTCCGTCCAGATAAACAGAGTTGTAGGGAATGTATCATGCCTGTTACATTGCTGCATTGAACACGATAATGAATTAGCCATTAATAAACTCATCATATGTAACCATATCGAAGAATATAATGAACCCAAGTACTTACCGGTAAACCCATATTAAGGGGGTCTCCCAACAGGCCATCGTTCCCAACACCAAACCTAGAGTAGGTACGAGCAATCCCCAAGGTTCGCATACCCTGAGGTGCGATGGCAGGCAACGCATAGCTGTCGATACGTCCATGCCAGGACAGCGCTGCCTCTGCACCGCCATATTCTCCCACGGCTGGAGTAGTATGTTAAGGAAGATCCAGCTGATGGTATTGCCCGAGGCGTCTGGAAAGAGAAAAGCACCAAGAAAGTGCCAGAGTCACACTCGAGCAAACCTATCGATCTGAGCCTCCTCAGCATGTGGGTCCAAGTAATCAAAGCGCTCCGTGATCCAGGATGACGAAACACCATAAGTTTTCCTAAAATTTACCAAAGAAAATGAGACCCGATTGCTGCAGGAAAGCGATGCAAATATTAAATAGACTTGAATTTCTCACTTATTTTTCTTGAAAGCCTCGTCGTCCGGTGGAAGAAAACCAGTAAACTGAGCCACCAGCTCTCTCTAGTTATCGTTGTCAACTATCCCAGTCACTGAAAGTCCCCCAACCGAAGGCCTAAAATAGTCTTCATGTCCTGCAACGTTAAGGTCATCTCGCCACAAGGTAGGTGGAATGTGGGTCTTAGGCCTCCACTTGTTATAAGAATAGAACGACTGTTGGTTGTCTCAAATTTGTTATAAGAAAGTTTACGCACAAAGAATGCACTCGCACCTGTCTACAACTACGGTAAGTAGTGCTGGGTCAAGGGGTGGAAGACCGTGGTTGACAACATGGACAAGCTCGAGAAAGCCGGCACGCCGTATGTACGGCGCGTAACGCTCGTCTCACTGGTGCGCCCTGGTGTGCGTGTGGGGCCTCAAAGGAGGCAAGGCCACCTCTACGTTGTTGTCACTCAAGATGTGTGCTCGGTACTGGTCGTCGTACTCCACCTCAAAAATAGGGTACAACGGCTGCTACGTGGGATGGACCATCCTGTTACAAATTGATAAACAAAGCGTTAGAGTACTCAAATTAACAAAATTTAAATTAATATTATATAGCATTGCAAAGTAAAATATTCACTCTAACCCAAAATAAATCGACACAAGGCTAGGATAAACAAGCGCGCAAAAGAGGTAAAGCCCGATGGTCATGTACTAGGGACGTGGATAGAGGCTAGAGATCGTAGTACGACAAAGCCAACCAAGAAGCGAGGGAGCCAGTTACGCTCAACGTTACGGCCACGGCGAGATGAACCCACGATCGAAACGTTCGAATGAAATACGATCCCTCGACCGGCTCGCTACAATCCCAAACTAAATAACTAATTATAAACTAAATAATAATTGGATCTAGCAGTAACAACCGCATCACTACAATCCATAACTAAATAAATAACTACAAACTAAATAATAAATAACTAATCAATCTCTAAACCCAAAATCCCAACCTAAAACCTAAAAACTACATACGTATATCACAAACTAATTATCCTAAAACAATAATAATCATAATAACATTAAATCGAGAGGGAGGTACCTTAGGAGCGGGCGGCCTTGACGCTGTGGGTTAAATGGGCGCGGCATGCTGGTGCTCTGAGGGCGTGGCGGGCGAAGCGTGCGTGCGAAAGCGCTTGAGGCGAGGCGATGCGATGGTGGCGGGCGCGCTTACGTCCGTCATGGGCGGCGTGGCAATGGGTAGTGGTCGTGGCTGGGGCTCTCGGCCGCTGGGTTTTATTTGCCCCAGACGCGCCATGACCCTGGCGCGCATCGCTTCTGCGCTTAAGATTGGTGGCGCGGCGAGCCCTCCTTCCGTCGGCCGGTCGTGCCTCTGTCGCCGCACATTAGCTCGGCGGCGCCGCCACCATGCATGGCGCGACACAGGCATTTGGCCGCGCCAGGGCAATAATCACGGCCAAAAGTGTTAGTTTTAAAAAAAAATCGGAGGTGTTAAATTTAAAATTAGTTTTAAAAAGTGTTAAAATTAAAAAAAAAATCATCGGGTCCGGTCCAGCCATGTTTGATGTTTGGGCACCAGCCGGGCCCAACTGGCCCTGGGCCCCCGGGCCTCCTGCGCGGCCGAGCCCGACCCCTCCCCTCTCCTTCTCCATCGCAGTGGGCTCATCTCCAGCAGCGCCGCAAACCTCTCGCCGCCACCGCCGTCTCACAGCAGCACCGGCACGCGCGGCGGCGTACCTGCGGCGGTAGAGCACAGACGCCGGCACAAGCTTCGCTTTTTCCGTACAGGCGCGTGGCGAAAAAGCCTAGGCATGCCTTTGGTCTAAAAGCGCCCGCATGCGGCATCCCCTCCTCGACCCACCTCGCGGCGAAGCATCTCCTAGCACGGCAGCACCCCAGAGCCCCAGCGCAAGCCTCAGGCTCCAGATCCCCACCTGGCCATGTCGGGCCGGAGACAGGCGTGGCAGTTTGCGGCCGTGCTGGTCTTCTTCCACGGCTCCGAGTACGTCCTCGCTGCCGCTTTCCACGGCCGCCAGAACGTCACCGCTACTTGTGAGTGCGCCATGACTCCATGTCTCTTCTGATTTGAGTGCGGCTTGGACTGTGTTCGTGAAATTCGATGGATTTGAAACTGGTGCTGTGCAAATCCTAAATCTGGAGTAAATTCTAGCGCTCTACTGAAAAGTTGAAGCAAATCGCTGCGTGAGTTGAATTGTGCTCGTGAGGTTTACTAGATTTGAAAGTGGTATTGAGCTATTCCTAGATTGCACCTCAGTCTCGTTGCTAGATTCTAGCAATTTCACTGAGTAGTTTAAGCAAATTGCTGCTGAGTAAAGATGGGACTATGTCTTGGCAATTTGGGTTTGAACTGTCATTTGACCTAGCCAGAGTATTTGTAGTAGACTTTGTAGTCTATATTTTGTAAACTGCTTTTGCTGTCTGATCTATGTCAACTTTAGCAGCTAGCAACTATCTATTCCATTTAGCAGAAACAAGCTGCCAAGTGCTGCTCCTAATGAATTTAGAAATTAAGGAACATATTGTAATGGGATTTTTTAGTTAAAAAGCTCCAAAATTGGAAAGTATGATCAAAATTCATCAATGGAGCAGGTTTTGACAAATGAAACTTATAACTAATTAATTGCTTCATAAGTCATTAGTTTTTTTTCCACACTGGACGAACCGAATTTCATTACGGATAGTAAAGAATTTACACAGGTTTCAAGTCGTCTGCCCAGTTTCCGAGACATTACTTTCCCTCCAGCCCAAGCACAAAGGGCTCAGCCAGAGAAGCAACCAAAAAAGCGATGGCGGCTACGCCACACCCAGCCAACAACAGGTTTCAGACCGACATAAGAAGCTAACACTGAAAACTGACCCGACTTAATACAAGCCAGATGAGGCTGCCACGGCACGCAGGCCAGCGAAGACTGACTTCCAAGCAGCAAAGAACTGAAGCCTTCAAGTCTTGATGATCGCCTGAGAGTCATCCCCCTTCTGTTGGACTTGCTGGTGGAATTGCAAAGCCACCGACTTCAGAATCGCCGCCCCATGTTCCATCTGAGTTGCAACCTCTTGTTTCTGAAGCCCTGCCCAATATACCAGCATAGAACAAATCAAACATAAAATCTCTGTAGGAGCCTTTACTCTCTTCCCCTCAAAGCAAATAGAGTATGAATTGATTAGTTACTTTTAACTAGGCTTGTGCAACTGCAGCTTGCATTTGGCTAGCTGATGTAGTATGCGATCAAACCAGGGTTCCTTCCAAAGCAGGCACTAGGTTACACCAACGTTCACGGTATTCTCATTTCAGAACACTAATGCATACATAAATAATTTCTGAAACATAGCCTAATGCGATGCTGGTTTTTGTTTTAAACTGTTAAATCTTTAAATCCGCTCTGATGGCAATGGTGAATATATCAAGAGTTCTCAAAGTTGTGGTGGTCTTTTGTGGACAAGAAGTCCAATCCACCAAAACTGTAGGATGGTCAATATTCAGTATTCAAATAACACCGCCAAAAGCCCAAAACTTTTTTTTAGCAACTGGACACTGATCAAACAGCACCTGAAGAAGCATTTGGCATGTGTATGTTGATTCTATTGATTATTAGTTTTTTTTTCCTTAATTTTTTACAGTTTAGATTATACTTTGCATTATCCTATCTTTATTTTTGGCAGTGTTGTTAGTAATGAAGTTGCTTCTCTTGCAGCACTTCTTATTAGCAAGCAGTATGTGTTGGCAATGGGTTTTGCAATGTTGGAACACCTGACAGAAATTCTTATTTTCCCAGAAGTAAAGGAGTACTGGTTTGTCAGTAATACTGGCCTTCTAATGGTTATTGTTGGTGAAATTATCCGTAAACTTGCTGTAGTGACAGCTGGACGTGCCTTCACGCACGTTATAAGAACTTATTATGAAGATCAGCATCAGTTGATCACCCATGGACTGTATAGGTAAATGATTCTTTACTTTTTGCAATAGTTCAAAGTTATTGAGTTACTACTTTACATTTGCACTACAACAATTCAGAAGTTTAATTTGTTCTATTCTGCTTAATTATACAGGTTTATGCGCCATCCTGGGTATTCTGGCTTTCTTATATGGGCAGTAGGAACCCAGGTTATGCTGTGTAATCCATTATCAACAGTTGCATTCACATGGGTCTTGTGGCGATTCTTTTCAAAACGGATACCGTATCCTGCCTGAAAAATATTTTATAGACTCTTCATCTCAATTATTGAACTGTCAGAAGCATACCACTTTATGTGTTTTCATCACCCATTGAATATGAACATCTTCGTGAAAAGAGTAAAACTAGTTTTTCTTGTGATTCCTTCACTCAGAGCAGGTATGAAGAATTTTTCTTGAGGCAGTTCTTTGGCTCAGAATACGATGAATACGCACAGAGAGTACACTCTGGATTACCATTTATTAAATGAAAGTATAGCACTTGCAAAGTATGCCCTTGAATCCTTGACTTTTAAGTTCCCATTTGATACCATGTACTTCAAACTTTAAGATTTAACTAGCTGCTCTATCATGCTTTCTTTAATTTTCAAACCCAGCGGTAGTGCTATAATAAAACCGGTGGATACATGCTTTCTCATAAAACAAAGAGAAATTGAACAATAATTGTCTCATAATTTTGTTTCTTTTCTCATAGGAACATGTGTAGTTTGAATATTTTATCCCTGGCCCAGAATTATAGCCATTTTGTGCATAATAACTTCTCACAACTATTTTTCCCATTTAAAGTGCTTTCTTTACACTATATTGGAAAGTATCTATGGTTCATAATTTAACATGTCCTTGCGGCTTGACATCTCACATTTTACTTGCACATGAATTGTGAGCAAATGTGGCTCACATCATTTTGCTACATTATTTCTACTTTGTGAAAGAAAAAAATATTTTTAGGATCCACCAGTAAGATTTCCAATAAACTATAGCTTGAACAATGTGGCATGACCACACTTCAATAAACGTATCTTGCAGTCTGTGTACTGTGGTTACTAGTGAAACAGAACATTCTTGTTCTTTCTTTTTTGATACAGCACACATCTGGAGATAGGATATTCATACTCTGTTTGATTTTGTTGTAGGTATGTCGAAGTAAAGCACCAAACAATATGAAATCAAGAGATAACAAAGAAAGGAGCCATTTGATGGATTGCATACAATACAAGACAAGTTAGAAATTTTATAGTCTCTAGTCAAGCAGATGAATTATTCATCAGCTCATTGATCTGTGCAAATTTGGGCAGCTTTACATTGGCCATTACTCCTTTGATGTAAAGTTCAAGCTTTTTTTTTTCACCCCCATAGTGATGTTCACCAACAGCTGAACTTGTGGCAGCACGCCATTCAAAGCCGAATGGTTTCAAGGTAATATGTTTACTAGCCTGAGGTTCCTTGTGACGAAGCATTTGTTGACACATGTACACAGCTTTGTCCGGTACTCTGGTGTCAAGCATCAAGCATATATACTTATACTTATACTTGACACATGTACACATGTCGAAAATACTGTTCACATGTACAGTGATTTCGACAGAACAGTATTTTTTTTCCCACGACAATCAGCCGGAACAATATTTTGGCTTATTTTTCATCCCTCCCAACCGCCCCACCAGCTTGTTTTCGTCTGGACGGGCATGTCGAAATTTTATAGTCTGGACGGGAATGTGATCAATCTGGAAGGCGCCCTATATTCTGCTGAAGTGCTAATAGAAACGCACCGGCCTCCGGAAGGATCCTATTCTCTGATGCGAAGCGACTGAAATTGAGTCGGTCTCCGGAAGTCAACACCAGGAGACTGGCGAGGCTTTGGTTTGGTCGAAAAGCGCTCGTGCACCCGTCTTATTCATATCAGTCTGCTCGACGCCAAAGTTTACAATCACATATTTAATCAATTCAAAGTTGTTTGACTCTTAAAAATCAAGGTTTCCATCCATTCTTTTAAGAGAGAGACTTTTCTTCACTCCTGAGCTCGCTTATAAATAGCTGTCACACCTTTCCTCTCTTCATTCACTCCACTCCAGTCTCCAGCAGTCCAGCCTTGGCCTCGCAGTCTCGCCTCTACGATCACTTCAGCCCGTGGGAACATGGCCACTGCGTCGTCGTCCTCGATCCTGCCAACGTCGCACCCGCCGTCCGTGGAGCGCACGAAGGGCCCCACCGGCCTCGAGAAGCTCGTCCTTCGCGAGTCACGCGGTTGGTCCGCGGAGGTAATAACGAACTCGATTGCCTCCCACCACTACTTTTCCGGGACGATTTGGGGGCGCATTCCGTTGGGAGATCGGAGGAGCGGAGGGTGCGATCTACATATAGCGTGTCGATTTTCTTTTATGATTTATATGATGGGGTTGAGCGTTCGGGGTTCGCCGACCAAATTCACTAGTCCGATTAATCGGAGACGAGCCGGCGTTTGGCGTTTATAACATTTTAACATTGCCATCCTTGCGTGAAAAGTGACCGGTGCTTTGTTTTCTGGTTGGCTTTTTTTTTTTTTTTTTTTTTTTCTCACTTTTTTATTTCGAGAAGGATGAATTAGTGGTGTTGTCCATCTAGTTGAGGTTCGATCATTATGGAGTTCTTTCCATAGTTATTTTTTGCAATCTATTCCTCCACAGAATAAAAAAAAGAGTGTACAATTAGTTTTGGTCTTGCGTCGCTATTGCATTCACAACTCGATAAGTGGACTGTGAAAAAGTGATGGCGAAAGACTTCAAATATTATGCGGACAATGCCCTGCTTGTTGGGATCTAGTGGCAGAAGACGCACCGACTATGCCACTTGAAAGGGAAAGGGGCCTAGGTTATAGCCTTTCGCTGTCAAGATGGATGATCATCAGGTTGTTTTGGAATTTGGTCTGATACACATCTGATGACCTGTAGGATAGGTGCTAGCCTCCTTGAGTACTGAGGATAGGATAGATACCTTTTTTCTGATAAGATGGAGGAACCACAGTGAATCTGTGTTTTTAGTTCTAGCATGTTTGGCTGAGGAGGCCTTATACCATAAAACTATATATCTAACTAATATGGATATGATTATTTGTTATATATGTTTGTATTAACGAGTTGCGCAACTGCATACTCCTCCATAACAAAAATTCAAAGTTATTGTGGTCTGTGGTAGTTGCAGAGAAGCTAATGTTAGCAGTGGGTGCTTGAGTTGTACCATACAAATGATTACTAGGTAAACTTTTAGTGTTATCCAGTTGTCTGGATCAATCCTTCTTGACTCTTACGCACTAGTTAGTTAACTCTGTTAGAACTAACAGGCTCTAAAACTTCTGTCAGTGGGTGTCCAATGTCATTCTTGCATGCAAATAGGACCATAAGATGTCCTATTTTAAAATTTGCTGTGTTCTTCTTCTTTTTTCTTCCCCATCTTTATTTTTTATCCAAGTTGGAAGCGTATCAATTTGCCGAAAGGCAAATTCTTCACGCATGTAGGGCCTGGTACCTGCATGAAAATTGTAATCATGTGTCCTTGTGTTAGATCAGGTTTTAGCTCCTGTAGTTGATCAATTATCTTGTCTTTTGCAAGGTCCATCTATATGGAGGTCAAGTAACCTCTTGGAAGAATGACCATGGAGAGGAGTTGCTTTTTGTGAGCAGCAAGGTATATAGAAACATCCAAGATGTCATGGATGACGGCATTGGTTAACTTCTTAATCCATTAGTGCATTAGAAGCATGGACGATACATCTCTGTCATCCTTGTCCATGCCAAAACAAATTTATTCGTTAAAACTAGATTCGATCTGAACATATCTAATTTGCTTTGTCAATACTTCATCATATTTCTTAGTTCCAAAGTCCTTTTGAAATATCACTAAAATGTTGTTTCATTTTGTCATGACCATAGCCCTTTTATTTTCTTGGTTTTTTTTCTACAAATGCAAGTAACTACTCAACTAAGTATGCCACTCATGGCTCCTCAGTTATTATGTGCATGTTGCCGCATCAATCATGACACCTCTTAAACATGGTTTTGACTTGAAGTCCTTTTTCAGGCCATTTTCAAGCCTCCAAAAGCAATCCGTGGTGGAATACCTATTTGTTTTCCCCAAGTATGTCAACTTCATTTTTATTTCATAATTTATAAGCTCAAAAAATGCCTGCTCCAATCATTCATATATGCAGTTTGGAACACATGGAAATCTTGAGAAACATGGATTTGCAAGGAACCGTTTCTGGGCTATTGATGACAATCCTCCACCTTTCCCAGTAAACACTGCTATAAAAACTTTTGCTGATCTCATTCTGAAGCCTTCTGAAGAAGATCTCAAGATTTGGCCTCACAGGTTCATGTTAGAGACCATGTTGTTATCATGTCGATCCTTAACTCTGCTCCTCATCTATCTTTAAATAAAACTACAACCTGCAGCTTTGAATTTCGATTAAGAGTTGCTCTTGCGCCTAGAGGAGATTTGATTCTCACTTCTCGAATCAGAAATACAAATATTGATGGAAGACCTTTCTCATTTACTTTTGCATACCATACGTACTTCTCGGTATCTGACATAAGGTATGCATAATTTTTTAATCAGTTCATTCCCCCTCTATTCTCAGATTTTGGTTCAGATATTGTAATCTGAAACTTATCCGATAGTCTGGAATTAGAATTGTGGACCTATCTTGCATGGCTTTCCAGTTATATGTGTTCAGTTTACTTGTTGATGCCTTCAATAGGCCGATACTACCTCCATAGTTTTTAATAAAGCACGGCTTAACATGATACGTCTCCCAAATCATATTTTGACCATTTGTTTATTTTATATTATTTAGGGTTATAAATTATGATAATTGGATAGTAGATTTGATTACAAATCTAATCAGATCAAGTTTGTATTATAATAGTTAAAAATTGTTAGCTAAATTATTGGTCAAAGTTTTAAAATTTTGAATCTTAGTATGCGTGCGCGCCTTATAAAGGAACATGGAGGAAGGATGTATTATGCATTTATGCTTATGTCATTGGTATTAAACTAAGCTTGGCTAATGAAACACCATTTTTAGAAGCTGCTGGCAAGCATGATGGTTTCATACTGCAGTTTTAATGCAGGTACATGCCAAACTTTTAGACCACAGGAAACGGGTCAGGCACTTTAGTTTTATGGGTAAGGAGGGAGCTGAAAGTTGGAGAGAATATGCATTAGAAGATGTTTACATGTACTTTATCTCAATTCAAGTGTATACCTGTTCAAACAATCAGGAATTCAAACTTGTTTTTGCTTACTTAAGACACAAATGTCCCCAGTGAAGTACGTGTTGAAGGGTTGGAGACCTTGGACTACCTTGACAACCTTCATGCAAAAGAGCGATTCACGGAGCAAGGAGATGCAATTGTGTTTGAAGCAGAGGTAACTACACCAACTCAATATCACAATGAAACTATGAATTTTGCTGATTTGTCAACCTTTTCTTGTGGTGAAGATTGACAAAATTTATTTAGACGTGCCACCAAAAGTTGCAATAATTGGTCATGAGAAGAAAAGAACATATGTCTTAAGAAAAGATGGGCTTCCGGATACTGGTAAGTTTACTCGATCATTCATTTTGTTCTCATCAGCATTCGTTTAGCTTGTTATAGCATGCTTATTTCTCTTACCCTTTTCCCTCTTGTAGTTTTATGGAACCCATGGGATAAGAGGTCAAAAATCATGCAAGATTTCGGGGATGAAGAATATAAACACATGTTGTGCGTGGAACCTGCAACTGTTGAGAAACCCATTACCTTGAAACCTGGTGAAGAGTGGAAAGGAAAGATGGAGCTCACAGCTGTTCCTTCCAGTTACTGTAGTGGACAGTTAGATCCAGATAAGGTTCTTCAGGGTTGAGAATTCTAACTTACAAATATCTTGTATAGGTAATGCTCATCTCGCTTCGAAGCTTTGTGGCTTTTTGCAATTTGAGAGCTCATAGTGATAGAGACAAGTCCAATGCAGTTAAAACTTAAGCTTCAGCTATTTTCTCAATTTGATTTATCAAGATGCTTGAAAATGTGGATTAGAAATAGTATGTTTGCTCCAGTTGCAGACTGAATTCAGTTTGTATGCATAATTTGATTTCAGCACAATGGGCATATGTCTTTGAGCTCTGTTCATGTGATTGATAGCACAATGACTGAAGATAGTTCTCAAGCCTGGTTAATTGCATAGTCATGTCAACAACTACCTCTTCCAGTTATTTCAATTTGAAATGTCAATCATAGTTCTCTTTCCTAATTCATGAATTCTCCATTTCTGCAGGAACGGCCAGCGTCGCTTACATTACTTGGTGGCTGCCCTAGTGTTGAAGCTGTTTCAACTTACTAGCCTTTGTTCGTCGCCATTTTCTCCACTTATGTGTCTTTATTGTTGGTATATAGAAGCAGGTAGTCACTGCAACCATAAGCTGCGCTAGTAGCTTTTGAATATCCGATTGTGTCCTCAGTGGACTCAAATTAGTGAATAATAGCATCCATTGTTCAGAATTGTTCGCCGGACACATGGATGGTGCCTTACTTTACATCTAGGGCTAGGAGATGTCTTTCCTTTTCTATTAGTGTAGAGACGTTGTCTTGGACTCGTGAATTCACCTGCTACGTTATCTTGGACTCGTAATTTCACCAGCTCCTGGATGGGGACATGTAAATCAACGATATTGGCACTATTTTGTTTCTATTCATGTTTCCTTCTGGGCCATCATCTGTAGCCCCATTGTCATTCAAAACAATACTATCAGTCACGACCTAAGTGTAATTAGCATGCCAATCATCGTATCATGAGAGCGTGATTATAATATAATTAAATTAATAAATGTAGGGCTAAGCTTTATTTTCTGCCTTAGGTGGTCTAACTGGGCTCCTACCTTAGTTAAACCTTGTTTTAGCATTAAAAAGAAGGTTTGAGATGACGTGATGGAAATGTACCCATGTCATGAACGATGAGTGATTGTCAAGGTGACATAATTGAGTTTTGGTTGAGTTGGGTTAGTGTGATTTTATGTTTCTTAGCTTATGAATGTGCAAGTGTTTTTTTTTTAAAACTATGAATGTGCAGGTGTTGGGTGGATAAAGGTGGTCGATGGCAGCAAAGAAGGTCAAGTGAGGAGTTCGAATCGATGGACCATGGGCGGTGAAAATAGAACACGAAGGCTTGGACTAAGGGACCAAGTGGTGGGAGGACATACTAAGTATGGCTAACACTTGACATGGCGATGAGCGAGAGCTGGGGCTAGACCGAGTCAAGGCAAAGCGTTGTGAGCACTTGGTATATTGTCGGGCCGTCGGCACCGGAGGGGTTGTGTATTGGCTACGCCGAGGAGGGTTTGGCGGTTTTAGCCTCAAAACCGCGGGCGGAGTGATTTTCATATAATCCTTGAATGTGGCCCGATAAGACTTTACTATGTTTTTATGAGGAATTGAACATGTGCCGATTATGTATGCTCCCATGTGACATGATCCTTGATGAAGGCCACATAGTTGGTTAGCACGGATGGTGCTGCCAGGGAGAACCAGATTAACTAGATTAAGTTGAGTGTGGACCAAGGCTGGTAGCTCGACTTAGTCTGGTTAATTGGAGGATCCTCGCACTCATTTGTGGGCCAACTGTGGTAGCTGTTGGCTCCATGGAAAGATGATTGATTTTTTTCGGGTAAGTTTACTTATTTTTTGAAGTTTAGTGGAAGTGTGCCGGATACACCCATCGATTTTAGATAACACCCCAACCCCAAAGCGATTCAAAGAATGACTCAGAGGGTGAACTAAAATCTTTTCGGCCCTGTTCGCTTGTTTTATGAGCCGTACTGTTTCAGCGAAGGAACAATATTTTTCTCTCATAATAAATCAGCGAACAATACTTTCAGCCATGGTTTTTCAGCGAAACGACAGGACCTTCATTGTTTTTTTTTTTAATTTCTGGGGGGTAAAGTGATTTGGAAAATTGATCAAAGGATTAACCCTTACTCTGCCGAGTGGTACCCAAGCCACATGATCGAGTGACACCTGTGTTGTCCTCGAAGTCGCTTTCGTTCTAAGTAGTCTGGGTTGTCAACTTTAACAAATGATAGAAGATAATGCGAGCATCTATGTACGAACAAAAAACACACAAAAAGGATACCGTAGAAGATTCAAATAACTCCAAGAGAGACGTTAAAAGAAAGTGTGATTTTAGGGGGGGGCTAAAGATAGTTTAATTTTTTCGACTTTAAACAAAATTTCTATGATAAAACCATATTTTAGGATTTTTAATTGTATAACTTTTTCAAGAAATATGGATAATATTTTGAAGAAAGAAATTTGTTTGCCCCTTTGAACTTTCAATGCCCCGCGTTAGCTAAACTCTCTTCAAAACCAGCTTTATTCGGTATAGATACTTTGGAGCAATGATACCCAATTCGGTAGCGTTAGCGTACGGACGTCCGGACGGACACCTGCGCTATACTCCATTTCCCGCGCATGCTGCACTCCACGCCCGCGCTCACGCTAGAACGCCCCGCCCGCACCTGCATTTCGCGCACCCACACGGGGCCCACGCTGCCCGGACGCTAGACCGCACGCAGGGACCGCTCGTGTGCCCCTCCGTTTCTCACGCGCATTGCAACATGTGCAACACCGATCTATTTTTGAAAACATTCAGATGCAATACTTGCGACATACGTCTAAAGACATGCGTTTGAAACAATTGCAAAAACACCTGAAAAACACTTATAACCATTGTAAACATACGCAACATCCAAATAAAACACTTACAACATATATATGAAACATATGCAACATCTAGATAAACGCACTTGCAACATGCGTCTGAAAAAAACATATAAAACATTGGGAACAAAAGCTTACAACATATGCGTATAACTATTGCAATATCTTGATCTACTTTTGCAACATCCATATGAAACAGTTGCAACAACCCTATGAAACATCTAAAACACTTGAAACATACGCTTCCAAGATGCGTTTTCACCCTTCTTCTAGATGACGCAAAGCAGAGCGAGGAACGGTAGGTTCCGGCCAGTGGGCGGCTTAAGGATGGTGGCATGACCTGGCAGTGGTTAGCTGCGCACGCGCCTGGCTTGGGCCCAGCCAGCGACGACCCCCTCTCCTGGCCACTTGGCCACACATGGCGGCCGGCGCCTGCGCGACAGTCTATGAGTACGGTGGGGAGGGAGGAAGGCAGCCGCCGGCGCTTGGATGCGGTGGAGATGGAGGATGAGGCCGCCGGTCTGGCGGGCATGGTGGAGAACGTCGCTGTGAGGCGGTCATGGTGGACCACACTGTGACGGTGTGGACACTGTTTCGAGTGGAGAGCGACTTTTCTGAGCGGAGGTAGTAGGCGAACGAAAGAAACACGAAGACGAGAGAAAAGTTGTTGGTCCTTTCGGAGTGTCGCGGCCCACGCCAACCTGAGCGTCCGGCCAATCGGACGCCCGGGTCTAAGCATCACCGTAACCAAATTTGCGTTTTGTTTGAAATCAGACGACACTAATAGTTGAGAGAATTCAAATGGACTTTTCCCGTCCTAAATTGGGGCTCCTCTTACTGGGCCTTGGGCCAACATGAGTCCAGGCTCGCAGCAAGCCCTAACACAACATGAGATTTCCTTTTCTGATTTAAATTGATAATAAAATTGAGTGTTTTGAGTTAAAAAAAAGGAAAAGAATTTCAAAAGGGAAACGGAGAGGGGTGGGGAGGGAATACAAGACATGAAGAATCTATACACTTCATTTCTGAAGAAACATGAAACGCGTTGCTAGTTGATTTTCAGGGCAACAGATTTGCAGATCGGACACCAGTTCTTCTGCCGAAGCCAGTGCTGTATGCAGGAAAGGTGGTAGTAGTGTTTACATGCCATCTTGCCCACCTCCTCGCCGGCTAAATACTCCTCCTGAGAAATATTTCAAGTGAAAGAAAACATTTAGAGGTTGCAACTAATATCCTGCTACAGAACAATCTGGTACAAATGTACTTGCCTGGCATATGCTGCATTTTCTTTCACAATCTTCATGAGAACCTGAAGCTGTGGGCATGTAGAGGCTCCTGTTCAGGCACGTGGACAATGCACAGTCTGAAAGACCTGTGTTTACAGTACCAATTCGCTCTCCCAAAGCAAGCAATTCCTTCGAAGCAGAGTGTCACAAATTATATAAGTACTGGAGATACAAAGCATGTCAAACAAAAAATGGTGGCTAACTGAAGAGAGAGAAGAGGATGAAGCAATGAAGGAAATCAGAAAACGGCGTCGTCAGAGTAAGGGGTCAGGCATCCAGACATACTTCGTAGGACATGCCGTCGATATCCATCCTCATTCCTCTATGCCGATCATTGAATATGAAGTAGTTCTCAAGCTGCAATGCAAAATGTAATCATATGATTTGCATTCTCTATATAATTTGGAATGGACAACAGCATGACTATAGTGCAGTGATAGAAATAGAATGCCTTACCTCTTCAATTCCACCCACATCAAAGCGCAAGTATCCATTTGAGTCCTCCATGCTGTCGTCCAGAAATGAAAGCTCTCCATGAAGACCGCTTCTGTATCTCGCCATGAATCCAGAAAGAAACCGTTCAGAAGGCACATGGTTTCTTGTTACCTGCTCAACTAGCAGCAAGTCATCTTCACTCCTCTCTGAACTCCTCCTAGCATCTCCAGCACCATTTCTTTGCACACCGTCAGCTCCTGCATTTGCTGCACCTTCATCAGCTTTTCTTATCCTCGAAGCTGCCCGATGCGACATCCTTGAGACCGATCGACTATTGCTCGGGGAACTAGCACTGAATCCACTCGGCGACTGTGGGCTGTTCTCCCTGTTCAACGATCGTTTCCTTGATGTGTTCACCCTCTCCTTAAGCCGAGCCAGTAAATCACGCCCAGGAGTGTCTCTTGACCTGCTGCCGGTTTCGCTGCAAGAAACTCCTGCATCCCTGCTGATGCTGCCTGAAGCACTGCTTTCATGTGGAGGCTTTCTGTTGGGCTTCCTAAAAATCTGTGATCTCCCAGGGGTAGCCGGTGTTGATTCATTGGGCGCCGCCACCCTGTGCACCTCCTTGCCTTTGGCTTTGTCAGTAGAATGCTGACCACTACAGCCATGGCGCGAGCAGCAGTTCTTGCCTTTGGGGCGCGAACCATCTTCTCTGAAGAGAAGAATTGATCCTCCCTTGGTGAAGAGGAGGCCGCCGACTGTTCGTCTTCCCATGTGCTCATCCATGTCAGATAATTACCTGAAATTAGAAATGGTTCGAAGAATTCAGGTACTCTGACATTTCATGAACAGGTTAAATCATTCAGACCTGGTAAACAGGTAATGTGCTGGGTTCATGACATTAACGGCCATTACCGATTCAGGTCCTACCATGCCTGATTTCAATTTTTAATTAAAAACGTAATCACTCTTCACCACGGGCCATGTGGTCACAGTATGACTAAAATGGATTCAGCAGACCCAAAGATCATGATCGTAATCATTAATTTTACTAAAACGAAATTAGTCAGGTGATCCTTTGTATAATTTTACGTATTTATATTTTAATCAGTCTAGTTATATATGTGCCTACTCATAGTACAACCAAAGCATCTTTCTCTCTGGACCAAACGAAGTTGCTGTAGTAGCAACCTTTTTCCCTTCCTGTCTGGAATTATTTCCTATCCTGAAAGGCCAGTTTGGCCATGCCTGCAGTACCACGGCACAGCACAGTACTGTATCAAAACCGAAAGGTGTACTGATTTTGCTTTACGGGAATCAGATAGACCAGGAGAGGGAGAGGCACCCCGACGGTTGACACATACGGATTCCATGGGATAGTACCTATCTTATCGCATAAGAAAAATATTATCTACATCTTGTATAACTGAAAAAAAAAGGATGGGAAAGAAAGTTGCTGGTTTCAGACAGTCGAAGCAACCGGGGCATGCAGCGGAAAACGATTCCGTCTTTCAGAGGAAAACATTGACCTGTATCCGGGGAAGAAAACAGAGGAAGTTTCTCTTTCTTTCTTTCTTTTGCGAAAAAAAGCAGAGTATATAGTACTAAATAAAAGGGAATTGGATTGCAGAGACCAAGAATTCAGAACTTTCGTGGATCATCAAACCTTCAAAGTCCCAACAAAATCAATCCAGCGATCGATCACGAATCACGATGGCAACAGATATGTGTTCCTAAACTTGCAGCGCCTATAACTCTCACAGGCAGCCGCAACAGAAGAAGTGAAGAACCCAACGAGAAAGGGCGAAAGAACCATGCGACCACCTTTCTCTGCCACCCTGAATTCCTTCTACGAGAATACAACAAACCTTTGCCACCCTGAATTTCACGAGGTGAACTACGGACTCGTCAACCAGTTGACACGAAACAACACCAGGCCAAACATGAAAAGTTGTAAGAGAAACAACGAACCAAACATGAACCAAACACAGCATGCCAACATCTGAACATAACACGAGGAAGAAGAAGAGGAGGAGGAGCGGCCATGACCAACCTTCCTTTCCAAGCCTTCCCTTCTAACCAGGTGATTCTCCTCCAATGGAACAGGCCCGGACAGCGACGGGATCAACCCGGAGAATCGAGGGGAGAAATAGCGAGGGGGGCGATAAGAAGAGATCGGAAGTGATGGTAGTTGCTATATACGCATGGCCAAGAAACCAAACCACATAGACAGAGGGACGGGGGGTGCGGACTGCGGAGGCTTGAACAGAAGGAAAGGAGAGGCGAGGGAGACGAGGCCGGCGTGGCGGGCAGGAAGGGACGGCGGCGGGGCCCGCGGGGCAGGTCGTGTGGGAGCCGTCGGATGAGGCGCCAAGCGTGGGATCTGACGGGCGCGGGGCCCGCTCGAACGAAGGCCCAGAACCGCACATGCGTGTAGTCGAGTGAAGTGGACCCACGGAGGGGCTGACAGGTGGGGCGTTGGGCCATCCTGTTGCCTGCGCATTTTTTGGGGGACAATTTTTTTGTCCGCTTTTCGTGAAGCCGTGTCAGTGTTTTCTGGTCTTTTCGGTGCACAAATAAATGCCTCCCGCTTTGTATTTTTTCTATTTATTTAATCGACTCTCCGCCTCAATTATAGGGCATGTTCGACTTGTCTGAATTTTGGAGGAATCTGGATGGTTTGGAGAAACGCTGGAGGAATTTGTGAGAGAAAAACACTGTTCTGGATGAAAAAATAAGCGGATCAAGCCGGGTTTAAGGACACGCGCACGGGCCACAGTAACCAAGGAAGTTGGATGCATGTTTTGTATTTGTAGGAGCGAGGGAGGATAGCACATAGCAGTCAACAGCTATTGAGAAATAAAAAAAGTAGCAGTAATAATTAGTGCAGCAAAAAAGTGTTTTTTGGGTGCACTTTTCGGGGAAAAAGTCTAAGATAAAATATGTTGTACCAAGTAACATAAAAACGTGGAACGTAATAGAGATATGTGTACAGATGTTCAAGTTTTGTTGGCGTGCCGTGGTGTAAAGTGAAAAATCGTTGAGTTAGTACAAAGCCCCCTTTTCTTAGTGTGACCAGGGCGATTGGTTATTTTTAGGACGACCCTGTCTAGCTGTTGGAGTACCACCAACTTGGATGCGGCTGTAAAGTGTACGATGCATAAAAATCAGTACTTTAGATTGCTAAAATTGTACACCAGTACTTTGCTTTTGCACTGATTTTTCCCTCGTGACTCCCTTTGTGCTCCTGCTAAGTGCTAAAACCTTGTGATTTGCGTTATGACCAATCAGCTCCTTCAGCTTCCTCTTACAGATATAGCCTATGACCAATTCCAGGGTCTCTCCCTCAGGATGACAGACAGACTGTTCGAAGAAAACAAGGATAGCTGAACATATTTACGGGGATAGACATTCTCGTCATCAAGGGCCTACAAAGCTCTGATTGGCCATCATCAGGTACAAGCTTCTCTCAAGTGGACTTGGGACTGCTTCTATCAACCCAAACACAAAGTCTTCTTTTGGCTGCTCATAAAGGACAGGCTCAGTACAAGAAATATTCTAAGGCTAAGAAATATGCACTTGCCTTCCTATAATTGTGTCCTTTGTGATCTTGATACTGAAGAAACATTACAGCACCTCTTCCTTCACTGTCCGTTTGCAAAAAGGTGATGGGAATTCGTCAATTTACACTTGCCTAATAATGCAGAGTTTCCTGACATTGTTAATGAAATGAGAGACAACCTCCAAACTCAGTTCTTCATGCTGGCTATCATTCTTCTTTGCTGGGCCATCTGGACTTCAAGGAATGACCTCATTTTCAAAGGAATTCAGCCGAGCCTTCAAGTCTGCAAAGGAACTTTTCTGAGGGAGATTAAGCTTCTCTCCAACAGAGTAAACAGTAGAAAAAGCACAAGCCTTTGATCAATGGAGTTCCTCTCTAGTCTAAGTGTCTGGATTAGCCGCATCTTTTTTGTCTCCTTTTTATTTTCTTGAACCCCAGTTGGTTCCTCGACTTTGTTCTGTACTTTTTTTTTAAAGGAACTGGAGGGGTTTGCACCCCTACAGCATTTATTAACAAAAACGAGTGTACTTTGTTTTTCTCTTTTTATTCAAAATAAAATTGCACTGTAAGGACGAAAGCCCTTCCAGTTTCCTAAAAAAAATTACAAGACACACCGGTATAATTTAAACGTGTCTTTTGTATTTTACCTAGTTTTTTTCTTCTAATAAACCGGGTTAGTTATGATCTTCTACGGTGAATTGCAAGAACTGGCGACTTTTTTTAAGATTCTTTTTTTTAAGATTCTTTGGAACAAACAAATGGTAGTAGTACTGTACACAGGAACTGGTCAACACATAAATACGTGAGCCGATTCAGCGTGCGAGTACACATCACGACGGCATAAAACCGATCCTCCACTTTTATCTTTTGTTTGGTGCAAGTTACTTAATAATGGCTAAATGGTGTGTATGTGCGTGTCTGGTCGGCTCGGAGTCGGAGTTGGAGTTGGACGGACTGAACCGTACCACTACCACTAGCAGTAGCAGCGCGATATGATGACGGAGGCGGCCTGCACGAAAGGCAGGCGGCGGCAGGCCAAAAGCAACCGGCAGTTGACGTACGGGGGTCGCTGGCCGCTACTACTCTAATTTAACGCACGGCCGCTTGCCTTCTGGGCATCTGGTTGACATGCCACAAGCACACAACCATGGTGCTTGTGAACATGCATGACACACACTGATGCCAGATGTATACGGCGAGAGGATGGGGATTATGCAGCATGTCCATATGACCATAAGAGGCCCTTGGGGGTATGGTTATGGCCTGACGGCCACTGGCATGCAGTTTTGTTTGGTATCCACCGTTGGCTGAGGCTCTAACAGTCCCAAGAGCAGTTAGCTCCGTCAAAACGACCTTTTGTCGTCTCCATTTGTTGAGTTCGGCAGCGGATGCTGATTGATATGCATACGATACGCGCATGATCCAAAGCCGCAACGGAGAACTGCCTGTCCTCTTCTTTTCTGCAACTGCGACGACACAGGTGGAGAAGTTTCACTTGGCCTTGACGACTTCTACGTGTTGATGCAGGTCTTCGTTTCAATTCAATTAGTAAACTGGCGGTCATTTTCGCTATATTTTATCTCTCTTCGTTTATTTAGATTGAAACTTTCAGAAATTTCGCTCGCATTCCTCCTTGCACATGTGCATCATAGCAGCCATGACTCTGAAGGCTTAGGCCTCACTTTGCTGCATCCCCTTTGCGTCGTCAGCATGATTACAGTTACAGGGGGGAATCAAACGACCAAGCAAGCCGTCCCACAATCATGTCCATACAAGTATACAACTCGTCGGAGCCCCCATTTTTTTATGCGCTCGCCGCTCGGCGTCAGACAGGGCCGCACACATCCGGCGCGCCTTGTCTTTGCTTTCCTTTGCATCCTCATGGCCGCCCCGGGTCTTCTGACCACTCTGGACTTTATATATTCTCCTCGTGCCGACATCATGCTATCGTGATTCTACTCAATCCTTGCCATGATGAATATACATAACATAGGGCCGTCCAGGTTTTTTTATACTCCATAATTCAGCAACCGTGGCCTACTAAGCTGCGTGCTCGTCCCTCTGTAGTCTGTAACTGCATCGCATGATGCCGCAATCAGGAGCGCAATTTATTTTTGGAGTAGGTTTCATGCTTCTTGGTTTGTTTGATTTGATAATGCAGGTGCCTTTCAGTGTCTGTGTTGGTGTGATAATTCAACACGGCACGCCAGGGCAGGACAGACAC